ATAAGGTAATATAATATATTTGTCGACACGCTTCCTCATAAAGTGGCTCTTATTCCACAGCAATTAGGCACGTAATGACACCTATTTATATTCAAACTGTGACTTTTTCATTATTATTATTCACAAGTCAAGTATATATATGTAACTTCTAAAATTACTGCTTATCTTATAAATAAAATTGTATATACAGAATAAATCTATACTAATACTATAAAGAGGTAAAATTTGTAAGTTTGTATGTAGGGGGTAATCTTTGGAACCGCTGGTCGGATTGCCAAAATTCTTTCACTGAAGTGCTAAAGGCTATAAAACGTCACGCTACGATCAAATGGAGCCGAGCAGCGGGACTGAAACCGCGCGAGAGTGGCTAGTTAGTAAATTTATTCATTAATTTTTTCACGGAATAAGTAACAGTACATAATAACAATCCCGTTACAAATCATTGACAATGATGAATTTAGAATATTATATGCCATACACGTTGTATCATCATCAGCCTATAAGTGCCCACTGCTGAGCAAAGGCCTCTTCTCACGCGGCCTAATCACCTCTCACGCTTGCTCAATGCGGATCGCCAATTTCAAACTTATAAATATAGGTTTCCTCACGGTGTTTACCTTCACCGTATGTCAGTGGTGTCTAAATAATCATAGAAAGTACATATAACTCGGAAAAAGTCACATTGGTACTTGCTAGAGTTTCTAATTTGTGGGAAGAAATGGGCGTCTTAACCTCCGGGCCACCACGATAGACCATGATGGACCAAGGTGTATAAATAAACAAATTTTTCTCTACGCCAAAACCTTCTCTGGAGTTCCACGAATAATTCAAGACCAAAATAAGCCAAATCTGTAAAGTCATTGTTGAGTTATAACATTACAACGAAAAGTGACATTGATTTTTATTATTTTTTATAGATATAGACTAGCGGACCCAACCCAAATATTCCTACATATTAAATAGCGAAATCGTTAGAGCCGTTTCCGAGATTACACGCTTTTTAAAAAAATCAGCGCCAAGCGCCAATACGGTAGTTTCCAACTAGTCAAATTCAATACTTTTAACCAAACGTCAAAAACTATACTTTTTATGAAATTTGTATGAAAAACTGAGTTGTGACGTCATAGTAGTTTTTCGTCAAATAGCTTGCTTAGTACTTAAAAATATTTAAAATTTAGTGTATCAATCGGTCGATGAATAAAAGTATAGCTGTTTTTCAGTATGTTATTGTATTGAAACGTCGAATTAATTTATTTTTGACCTAGGAAACTACCCAATTATATGTATATAAAGATGGATAAATATTTGTGTTGCGTTGTCGTAGGAGCGTCTGTTCATGCAGCACACGGGCGCGCTGGACGCGCGACGGCGCGACAAGCTGCGCGCGCTGCTGGCCGAGCGCGGCGTGGCCTGCACGGCGCACTGGCGCGACGTACGCGCCATGCTCAACGCAGAGCCCACCGCGCCGCTCTACTCCAGCGCCACGCAGGTACGTTACGTATGTTACAGGTCGACAAACTAGCAGACGGATTTCCTGATGGTAAGCAATCAGTGCAAGAACAGAGGAGCTACGAGTGCGTTGCCGTTGCGAATTGTGAAGGAATTGGAGCAGGGGAAGGATTGGACCTCCGGTAACCTCACTCACAAGGCGAACCTAAGATGACCCACTGACCCGAAACACAACACTATGTTGTTTCACGCCGATTTTCTGTGAGGCCGTGGTACCACTCCGGTCGAGCCGAAGCATGGCTCTCCAAATTTGCATTTTCTTATCGAATTAGACAGACATTTCCCCGCTATATTCTTTTAAGTGTGAGAGCCAAAAAATAATTGAAATTAGCTTATTTTTCAAGTCAATGTGTGTGTTGTATTATTTTAACAAATAAATATAATGTAATTGCAAAAAAGAAAGAGAAGACCTGCACCTATACACTAAACTAATACAATCAATGAAACAATGAATTTATTTTTGCAAATAGGCCATAAAACGGCACTTTCACACGTCAAATTATATGTAAAAAACTAGATGAAGCCTAGATCGTTTCGCCACCATATTGTTTAATGCGAAATACTAACACGAAACGAAAATAACTGACTTTCTTTCTATGAAAGAGACAGAGTGCAAGAGAGAGAGAGATAGAAAGAGAGAGACTTTTCGTCGTAATTTTTTCTGACTACCCCCCTTTCGCGCGATAAGGAACTTCGTCCAAAAAAGGGACTTTTACATTCTTTTTTTATCTATATTTCAGATGGAACGCGAATTCCGCGACTACCAGCGTGACAAGCAGTCTGCTGCAAAGACGGCGATGCGTCAGCTCCTTCAGGAGACGAGGTCCATCACGCACAAGTCTTTGGCCGCAGTCAAGGACAACCCTAACGCGTTGCAACACGTCTTGGATGCCCTCAAACACGACGCCAGGTCAGTTATTTATCCTCAAATAGACTGTAATATAAATAAAATATACAGGGTGTAAAAAGACACTTCACGAAGCCGTTAACTACGCATACTGCAGTTCTAACTAAGTAGCTTTACGCTAAAGTTATCACTGGGAAACGACTTTTATTTTTAGGTATCAAAAATAATAATAATTTTATTGCGCGCAATGTAAAGCAAACGGGCTTCGTGTCATTGTGTGCGTAGGTTCACAGCTTAGCATTAAAACGCTGTGATAAGTACGTAGGTTGACGTTTTACTTCGCAACAACAAAACAATACTGTAAAATAAAAATCCTACTGAGATGCACGATGTTTTTTGTGCGGGTCTGCATTTATTTATTACGTACATTACTGTTCGTAAAAATTATCCAAATAATGGGTGGAATACGTGGCTTTCGGCTTCGTTAAGTGTCTTTTTACACCCTGTATCATTTATAATATATAAGTAGTAGTGGCCCGGAGGTTAAGGAGCCCGCTTCTCATGCATGAGGCTGTGGGATCGAAACCTGGCAAGTACCAATGTGACTTTTTCCGAGTTATATGTACTTTCTATGATTATTTAGACACCACTGACATACGGTGAAGGTAAACATCGTGAGGAAACCTGGACTTATAATTTCTAATTATAAGTTTGAAATTGCCAACCCGCATTGAGCGAGCGGCCTTTGCTCAGCAGTAAGCACCTATAGGCTGATGATGATGATGATGATGTAATTGGAAGAGAAATACTACAGGTGTCCCACGAGTGTTTATCAGTAAATAAAAATCATCTCATGATTTTCACGTGTCTCTCTCCAGGTACACAGCGTTGGATCACATCCCCGAAGAACGCCAGCAGATCCTGACGAGCTACCTCGAAGAGTTGGAGAAGAAAGGTCCTCCCCCTCCGCCCACAGCCACCGAGCCCTCGCGGAGATCCAAACAATGATACCGTTAGTATTTACACTTTACTTTTTATTAACTTTTGCCCGCGACTTTGTTCGCGTAAAATAGTGACTACCCGCAGAATTTTGGTTTAAAAACTACCCTATGTCCTTTCTCGAGTTTTTTTTTATGTATTAAATCGGCAAACGAGCAGACGGATGACCTGATGGTAAGTAATCAGCGCCGCCCATAGACACCCGCAACAGGAGTTACGATTGCGTTGCCGACCTCTTAGGGATTAGGGTTTTGGAGATTAAGGGATTGGGGAGGGATCGGGGGAGGGGAAGGATTGGGCCTCCGGTAACCTCACTCACACGGCGAAACACAACGCTGTGGTTGTTTCATGCCGGTTTTCTGTGAGGCCGTGGTATCACTCCGGTTGAGCCGACCGATTCGTGCCGAAGCATGGCTCTCCCACTGCGAGTTCCAAACTATGTCTGTACCAAATTTCACAGAAATCGGTTCAGTAGTTTAAGCGTGAAGAAAGGACAGGCAGACAGACAGAGTTACGAATATTAGTTTTGATTATAAAGCCAAGTTTGTATATCTTATTAATATTATAAATGCGAAAGTTACGATGTTTGGATGTTTCTTACTCAATCACGCCAAAACTGCTGGACGGATCTGGATGAAATTTGGCACAGGCATAGGGTACACTCCGAAGATAGGACATGGTTACTTTTTATCAACATACCACGCGGGCGAAACCGCTGGTGGAAGCTAGTTTATTGATTTAGACTAGCTTCTACCAGCGTAGTAAAACTACGCTATATGTTATTCCAGACTATAATCTCTCTCTGTGCCAAATTACATTCAGATCCGTTCAGTAGTGTTTACGTGAGAGAGTAACGAACATACATCCGTACTTACACACTGTAGCGTTTATAATATTAGTAGGATTACCTGATGGTAAGCAATCGGCGTCGCCCATGGAGACCCACAACACACCCTTTTTGCGCTTCGGCACGAATGGGTCGGTTCGACCGGAGTGATGTCACGATCTCACAGAAAACCGCTGTGTTTTCTATCTTTCTTTCTGTTTGACCGTGTGAGGTCACCGGAGCCCTATCGATCCCCAATCTCTGAATCTCCACAACCCTTATCCCTAAGTGAAAGAAAGAAAGAAAGAAAAGACATTTATTCAGCACCAGGCACGATGCAGCATATAAAAAGACAATAAAAGTGTGACAGTAGAAGTAAGACAAACATGAGTTAAAGATTAAAACAGATGAAACAGAAAATAGACGCTACAACATGCCCTTGCTAAATGGGTTACCCACTCAGTGTAAGCTAGGCATACAAGTCGCCCAGCACTGATTTTCAGTGGGCACCCCTGCAGTGACGCACGGATGGTAGCAACGTTTTATGGCTAGACAAAGACAAACAAAAATATATAAGTATATAATATGTATGTATAACAAGTATAAAGATACAAAAATGGAATAAATATACATAGAATAAAATGTAAAGAGTAATATAAAATAAAATAATAAGAATAATGTAAATAAATACATAGTACACATGACAGACGTGAAACAAGTGGTCGACAACGCACTTATAATTCGTTGTTGCGTATGTAAATGTGGGAGAGCCATGCTTCGGCACGAATGGGTCGGTTCGACCGGAGTGATACCACGGCCTCACAGAAACCATCGTGAAACAACGACAGCGTTGTGTTTCGCCGTGTGGTACCGTAGGTTACCAGAGGCCCAATACCTTCCCTCCCCCAATCCATCCTTAGTCTCTAAATCTCCACAACCCTTATCCTCAAGAGGTCGGCAACGCACTCGTAACTCCTCCGTTGTTGCGGGTGTCCATGAGTGGCACTGATTGCTTACCATCAGGTCAATCGACCAGTAGTTTGCCGACCTATCAAATAATAATAATAACAACTTGTGTTTTATTTTCAGAAGCTGTGAAACCAAATGAAGACTCTCAATTGAGCAATAAGAAACGCAAGGAAATGTATATTTTGGAGTTAGTCAAGCTATTCCTTAGATACATATTGTAATTTTTAAATGAAATAAAAATAAAAAATGACATTATATTGTCTTCCTTTCATTTCGCCTCCTCTAAGTACCATTCATTGTTCACAAGTCATTGTATTGTACTTACAAAGAAAATCGTATTTTGTAGATAATTAACTTATAATATTGATTTTTGTAATCGCAATTCTAACCTACTATTCTAGAAACAACTCTGTTTAATTACAATTCGTTCACCCTTTAACTATCTGACTGAGAAATTCAGCCATTTACTGTCATTCCATTATTCATTCAGGGCTTACGATGCATGGCTAATCAGCTAATAGTACATACATTTTACCAGCGATTTTTTTTATGTAATAAGTCGGCAAACGAGCAGACGGATTACCTGATGGTAAGCAATCAGCGCCGTCCATGGACACCCGCAACGGAGGAGTGCGTTGCCGACCTTTTGGAGACTAGGGATTTAGAGATTTAAGAATTAAAGAGAGTGGCAGAGTCATCAGGATCATAACATTATATACTATACATAGTGTGTGTATGATTGTATGTAATTATGTAACGTTATATGTAAGTTCATATGTAAGTATACATATATGTATTTACTTGGTATTGAATGATATATATATGTATTATTTGTGTAGATTTATTATAGTGGTATATACTTTCTTCAGCCTGTTATAATTTCAAAAATTTCATGCTTGCTTCTTGCATCTGCCATTGGTATTCTTCTCTGCATCACCCAAAGGTCAGACTGGTAGAGAATGCTCAAAGCATTAAGTCCACCTTGTGTACAATATCTTGTGCATGAAGCTTATAATAAATAAATAAATAAAAATTAAGGAAGGGCAAGGATTCACTCACACGGCGAAACACAACGCTGTGGTTGTTTCACGCCGGTTTTCTGTGAAGCCGCGGTATCACTCCGGTGCATGGCTCTCCCACACTTAACTACTTTAGCGATACAAGAAATAATAAAATAAAACAAGAAACTTTTACAATAACTTTATTTAACAAATCAACAGCAAAATAACAAAATAAATAAGTAATATTATGATAATAACTTAAATACATTCTTTGTATTACATACATAATTATTAATTGATAAAAATAATGAGTCAGCTTTATAGAAAACTCAGCCGGGTTAGCGGGTCAAGCCCAGTACCCGAGCATACGTTCCGCGCGCGCCTCTAAGAGCCAATAGACCACCACAGACGGGGCCCTAAAGGGCTGATGTTCAGCCGGGGTTGCGGGGTAAGCGCAATGAAGCACCGCGACCTCGGCCCAGAGCAGGAGAAGGAACGGGGGGGTTTTTAGTCAGTAAGAGTCTGACACTCCCTCCCGCCCGGCCCTGGGCGGAAGAAAATTTGATGATTTTTCCTACTCAAATAAAACAGGTTTATAGAAAACATTTGAATTCTTTTTAATCCTTTAATCGTAGTAATTCGAGACACATAGGGCGCCCTCCAGCTAGGTAGGCGGATTGACGACAGCGTAATGAGCTCAGTGGCGTGCAAATGTAGAGACCTATGTCCAGCAGTGAACGATATTAGGCTGATGATGATGTGTCCCTTTATTGAGGAAGCCATCACACTACGATCACTAGGAGCCGGAGATCTGCAGAAAACCACGTGCATGCAGTTAGTATTAAATTGAATTTTGTTTAAGGAAAAATATTTTTTTTTTTGGAATAGGAGGCAAACTGTTTTCAATGACCTGCATGTCCAGCAGTGAACAAAAACAGGCTGATAAATAATAATAAAAGAGATATAACCTGAAATCTATCATTGAACTTTTTCTATCTTTCTTTCTTTTTATCAGGTATGAGGAACAGGGTGGAAAGTTCCTCAACCTCCATTAAAAAGCGAGGATCCTCCGACCAGGCGAGGTGTTCGTGCCTGGTGGGCTACTGCCCGACGGTTGTTGTCGGAATATCTGTATGGGTGCTAATAGTGTTGAAAACTCTTATAGCGCAATGTAGACTCTGGCCCGTGATTGGTGCTGTTGTTAAGGTAGTGCGCTAGATGTCGCTACAAACTTATGACAATTTTTGAATCCCTACGCTCCCTGCATCCTTGCCCAAATCTCCTAAACTCCAACCGTCTGATAACGCACTCATAACTCCTCTGATGGAATCCGTATACATGGGCAGTGCCGACTGCTTACCATCAGGTAATCCGTCTGCTCGTTTGCAGACAAAATTTTTTTTTATGTAATAGATTTACAAACGAGCAGACGGATTACCTGATAGTAAGCAATCAGCGCCGCCCATGGACACCCGCAACGGAGGAGTTACGAGTGCGCTGCCGACCTTTTAGGGATTAGGGATTTGGAGATTTAGGGATTGGGGGAGGGGAAGGATTGGGCCTCCGGTAACCTCACTCACACAGCGAAACACAACACTGTGGTTATTTCACGCCGGTTTTCTGTGAGGCCGTGGTCTCCGGTCAAGCCGACCCATTCGTGCCGAAGCATGGCTCTCCCTCACTTAAAAGATTTCATAATAATCTACTTTAGAACAAAAAAATCTTTACCCAAGTATTACGTAAGTACCTAATTGTAACTTAAAACCTCTTGGCGTAATAAATAAGCATAAAATATTGCAAAATGCGTACATAATTACAAATACGTCAACTTCATAAAATTGCAATTGTTACCTACATATGTTCAAATATGCATGGCAAACAATATTTTATGTAGTAACATTTGTTACATATTTAATTAAAAAAAAGGTCACCAATGACGAATGCTTTTCACACACAAGTGTAACCTTACTTTCCTACCATTTACAACACATCATCAGCCTACAAGTGCCCACTGCTGAGCAAAGGCCTCTTCTCACACGGAGAAGGTTTGAGCATTAACCACCACGCTTGCTCAAGGCGGATTGGCGATTTCAAACTTATAATTAGAAATTATTAAGTCGAGGTTTCCTCACGATGTTTTCCTTTACCGGATGTCAGTGGTGTTTAAATAATCATAGAAAGTACATATAACTCGGAAAAAGTCACTTTGGTACTTGCCAGGTTTCGAGCCCGCACCCTCATGCATGAGGCACCTGGCGTCCGACTACGATATGAGAAAGATGAATAGTTTGTTTTTTTATGTTATTTGCTGACAAACGATTATTCCTATTACCTGATGGTAAGCAAACAGCGACGCCAATGGACACCCGAAACCGCAACACCAGAGGATGTGCGTTGCTGGTTATTTAGGAATTATTGAATTAAGGTTTCGGAGATTTAGGGATTGTGGTTGTTTCACAGTGGTATTCTGTGAGGCCGTGGTATCATGGCTATCCCACACAACATGGACTTTCTTGCTCGTTCTTCTCCATTCGAAACTACAATTTGGAACGAGCACCTAGCTTCACTGACGAACAGACTGACAGACTACTTTTCTATTTTGACGTTTCAAAAGTATTATGGTTTAGTTGGAATAAATGATTTTGACTTTAAAACCTAGGCTATCTAAAAATCTAGATCGCCGGGGGTTATCTTGATGCGACGCGTGGGCAGCTCCCATATCTTGATGTTACCACTTGAATCCGCTGCGGCGATCCGACATACACTGGAAAAAAATACAGTATAAGACATTTAATTTTAAAAAAACGACATACTCAAGGGAAGTAACTGGGGAAATCTTATTAATGAGCTGTCTAACTCCACAAACGAAACGCAACGCGGAAAAAGTCATACATACTTATAAAATACTAGCTTCCGCCCGCGTGGTATGTTGATAAAAAGTATTCTATGTCCTAATCTGAAGTGTATCCTTTTTTTTGTGAGGGGAAAATCATCAAATGACTCCCGCCCAGGGCCGGGCAGGAGGGAGTGTCAGACTCTTACTGACTAAAACCCCCCTGTTCCTTCTCCTGCTTTGTGCGGAGGTCGCGGTACCTCATTGCGCTTACCCCGCAACCCCGGCTGAACATCAGCCCTTTAGGGCCCCGTCTGTGGTGGTCGAATGGCTCTTTGAGGCGCGCGCGGAACGCTACGCGCCGTACGCTCGGGGAAGTGTATCCTTTGCCTGTGCCAAATTTCATCCAGATCCGTCCAGCCGTTTTGGCGTGATTGAGTAACAAACATCCAAACATCGTAACTTTCACATTTATAATCTTAGTAAGATTTTTCTTTCTTCCGCCATAGGGGTACCTCCTTATCTGGCGTCGCCCAAGGAGAAGTTAGGAGTCCGTTGCAAATTAGGCCTTTTTTTTGTCAGGGGAAAATCATCCAATGACTTCTCCCGCCCAGGGTAAGGCGAGAGAGAGTGTCAAACTCTTACTGACTAAATACCCCTCGTTCCTTCTCCTGCTCTGGGCCGAGGTCGCGGTGCCTCAATGCGCTTACCCCGCAGCCCCGGCTGTGCAAATTAGGCCTTGCCGTTGAGAAGTAGGCCTTCGTTTATCTTTGTTTTGGTAATAAGGTTCACTTTTAGTTTAGATAGCTTGGATAAATGCAAAGAGGTGTTGCTTGAACGGATTTATTTTCACACTAGTTGTTATTATAATATTACAATGATTTAAAAGGATGGCTTCTTACTCATACTACAATTGGTACCTACACACACATGCACATGTATCGAACAATCTTAATTAGGTATACAGCGAAACACATTAGGACAGAACGACATTGGCAACTACGGGACTCCTCGTAACTAATAGTTTATGAGAATGTATTAGGTATATGTTTGTTACGCTATCACGTAAAAACGGCTAGACCTATTTGGTTGAAATTTATGTATGTAGATGGGTGATACCCTTTTTTGTCAGGGGAAAATTATCAAATGACTTCTCCCGCCCAGGGTAAGACGAGAGAGTAATAATAATAATAATAATTCTTTATTGACAAAGAGTGGCAGACTCTTACTGACTAAAAACTCCACCGTTCCTTCTCCTGCTCTAGGCCGACGCCGCGGTTACTCATTGCGCTTACCCCGCAACCCCGGCTGAACATCAGCCCTATAGGTCCCCGTCTCTGGTGGTCTATTGGCTCTTTAAGGCGCGCGCGAAACGCTACGCGCCGTACGCTCTGGCCTGGTTCTGGTCGGGCGGCGAGCTACCCTTACTCGCCGACCGCAGACCCGCGATGGGTGATACCCTGGATCTAATATGCTACTTTTTATCCACTATGCGGGCGAAATCTTAAGCGGAAGCTAGGTCCATATAAATATTTCAAAAGTTAGATTGGAATAATACTTTGAATTCAACTCATCTCACCTAGTCTGATTGACTTTGAGGCATACGACACACCCGCCGGTTCCAGTCAACCCCTCAACGGGCACTCGACGACCGCTGTTCAAGTTAAACACCTGTGTCAATATAACAGAAAAATATTAAAAGAAATAAAAGTATTCGTATGTACAAAATTATATACCTAATTTACTATCGACCCGCTCTGGCTTCGCACAATTACAATGTTGATACTAAATTTCTCCACTATTTAATGGATGTTATTATACATATAAACCTTCCTCTTCAATCACTCTGTCTATAAAAAACCGCATCGAAATCCGTTGCGTAGTTTTAAAGGTTTAAGCGTACATAGGGATATAGGGACAGAGGAAGCGACTTTGTTTTATACTAGGTATGTAGTGGAACACATAATTGCCATTAATATATTACTATTGGAACTTGTTCCCGTAGTAGACGCTGAGGTGAAGACTGAATTTAGATACACGACACATCATCATCATCAGCCTACAAGTGCCCACTGCTGAGCTAAGGCCTCTTCTCACGCGGAGAAGGTCACCACGCTTGCTCAATGCAGGTTGGCGATTTCAAACTTATAATTTGAAATTATAAGTCTAGTTTTCCTCATCATGTTTACCTTCACCGTATGTCAGTGGTGTCTAAATCATAGAAAGTACATATAACTCGGAAAAACTCACATTGGACATTCGTTCGATACACGACACGGTATATAATAAAATAAATACAGAAAAAAATAAACCTATTAATTAAAATAAATAGCAACTTCGCTTATCACTACATAGTATAAAACAAAGTCGCTTTCTCTGTCCCTATATCCCTATGTACGCTTAAATCTTTAAAACTACGCAACGGATTTTGATGCGGTTTTTTAATAGATAGAGTGATTGAAGAGGAAGGTTTATATGTATAATAACATTGCAGTCTTGCGAAGCAGGGACAGGTCCCTAGTTATTTATATCCTTTATCTTTCTTTATTTAAAAAAAACGTTGCCCCTCACTAGAATTTTCTCCTGTGTCGTGGGGTGCGGTTACAAACATACAATTTCACATACACATCACACCCAGACACGGAACAACAATTTGTGTAACACACAAAGAGTTATTCCGTGCGGGAATCGAACCCGCGACACGTTGCACGGCAGCCAGTTGCCCAGCCACCGCACCAACCGTGCAGTCATATATTACATTTCTTATATTTATATAAATAAATGGATATATATAAGAAATAAGAATATGTTTTTTTCGTTGTCAAGATAACTTAGTAACTTAGACAGACAAGGGAAGAAGATCATCAAATCTCTTCTCAGTCAGTCTCAGAGAAGATATTAATGGAGTTTCTTGCTCGTTCTTCTCCATTCGAAACTACAATTTGGAACGAGCACCTAGCTTCACTGACGAACAGACTGACAGACTACTATTCTATTTTGACGTTTCAAAAGTACCTATTTATGGTTTAGTTGGAATAAATGATTTTGATTTGATTTGATTTGAGAAGATTCAGACTCTTACTGACTAAAATCCACCCCGTTCCTTCTCCTACTCCAGCCTCAGAAACTTTTTGTTGCCCTTGAAGAATTACCTGAAGCAGTTGCGAATCCGGTTTTGCCAACCCCAGCACAATCACGGATGGGTTGTTTGGCAGCCAGGACATGCAGGAGACGGACTTATCGATGTTGATCACCTGGAAATTGGAGTTTAAGAGAACCAGGTCCATTAAAATGGTATACTGATGCTCCATAAGTTACTAAAGGACAATAATCCTCAAAATAATAATACCTAAGTGTTGGAGAGCCATGCCTCGGCACGAATGGGTCGGCTCGACCGGATTGATATCACGGTCTCACAAAAAACCGGCGTGAAACAACGACAGCGTTGTGTTTGAGTGAGGTGACCGGAGGCCCAACCGTTCTGCTTTACCAACCCCTATAACTCCAAAAGGTCGGCAACGCACTCGTAACTCCTCTGTTGTTGCGGGTGTCCATGGGTGGCGCTGATTGCTTACCATCAGGATACCCGTCTGCTCGTTTGCCATTCACATAAAAAAACCGTCAACGCACTTTTAGTTTTTCTGGTGTCATTCGCTGCTTAGTACTCAAAATTATCCATAAGCGGTGCTGATTGCTTACCATCAAGTATATATCTAAAAAAATCCACTGCCCGGATATTAATAACCAAAAGTCATTAACTTCCCCTTTGACCGTCGTGGAAATCGAACCCGCGACACTTTGAACAGTAACCCATCACTAAGCCACTGCACCAACCGTGCATTCAATTAAAAATCTATACTTAACCTTTCAGTCAGATTGATTGTGATCAAGGGCAAGTTATTATTTGGTTAGATTTCATATTTTGACACAGCAAGGACTGAGTTCTTCATTTTGATTCTCTCAGTAACAAAACCTACAGATAAATAAATCCTGACTACCCAGGCTGAAGACCAGGGCATCTGCAAAAATTCCAGCCAAATTTTCAAAACCTGATAGCGAAAATATATAATTTATACAAACCTTCAAGGGACTAGGTTGACTAATATCATAGATTCTAACTTCAGAATCAATTGAAGCAGACACGAAGACCCCAGGCTTTTGGTAACTGAACGCCACATCCAGGACATAGCCTATATGTCCTTGAAACACCTCATAGACAGGATCAACGCATTTACTATCAACAATTGGCTGATAAGTCTTTATCTTGCAAAGGTACAAAGGTCCTGAAGCCTCTCCTACCACGAAGATGTCATCAGCAACTTTCTCCTCACTGGGTCGCAAAGGATAGGTCTTTATAAAGTCAAAGCAAGTTATATTAACACCATTCATATTCCTGGAGCCGTTTAAGCAATAGCAGATAATGTTTTCAAATATTTTCTGGCTGGCGTTCACACGCCATACATTGATGGTGCCATCGCATCCAGCTGAAATGAGAATCTGGTCGGACGCACCCCGTCTTTTCCCAGTACTCATGATAAACATTGTGAGGAAGATGTTAGCGAGGGTGGATCTGCCCAGTGTAAGCTAGTCACGCGCTTCGAATCATGGGCCCCAGCTGGAGAAGTCAGCAAAATCGCATCCAAATTGCTCAAGTTACATATAACAACTTCTCCAGAACCTGTTCCATAAGCCAATAGAGCTGACACTGAAGGGTGATATAGCAATTTAGTTACACAGCTTTTCTCCGTCAAATCTAGGGTCCGGACAAAAGTGTCTCCAGCAGTTCTCTTGATAGTGAAAATGCGGATCAAACCGTCTTCGACACACCAGTTTTTGTGCTGGAATCTGCCGACAGATACGGCGATGGAATTACCAGCGCTGCTCCAAGACATATCGAGTATACAACGCGACTGGTCTCCTCCAGCCATACCAGGTAAATCGGACAGTTTAATCTCTTGAAACAACTTCGCGTTTAACACCTCTTCCTCATCAGAGTCCGAGGAATTGTAAAGCAATTCTTTGTCGCTTATTTCTAGTTGATCAAGCATTTTTGGCACGACCCTTCTTAAGAATTCAGTTAGTAATGGCGGTGGGTATTCCTTTAAAACTTCTTCTTGAGCGTTCAAATCTTCAGCTGTGACCGAAGACCCGGTTTCCTTAGAGACATTGGTCTGTGACGACACTCCAGATTCAGCGAATTCAGTTGTTTGAGTTGACGAGTCCTTTTCTTCGGTTTTATTCAGTGTGACTGAGTCAAAACCCACTGCTTCTCCATCGTAACCACTTAGGTGCGACATTATTATTGTTTTTTTAAAACAATTACGCTAAATATGTTCTCCAAATGTCACTGATGTTTATAAACAGTCTTTTGTTGTTTGCCCCGTTGCCATGGTTACCGTGAATGTGTTATTTTTCTGTTGTCAGGCGTTACTGTTTTAAAAAAGTATTTTCTAAGCGGCTTTTGGGTACAAGAGGGGATTATTAATAGTTTTTCGATAATTCAGTGCGCGAATTATTTATGTGCACGTATCGAAATGAGAAATCTTTTGATTCGTTTTAATTTCGAAAGAAAAATAGTTTTTAATGGATTCATGGACAAACACAAAGAGGAAAAATTCAATTAAATCTTACTATTAATATTATAAATGCGAGAGTTACGATGTTTGTTACACAATCACGCCAAAACGACTGGACGGATCTGTATGAAATTTGGCACGGGCAAAAGATACAGTCCGGAATAGGACATACATAGGCTACTTTTTATCAACACACACTACACGGGGAAGCCGCGGTCGGAAACTAGTTTTAAATTTAATTAGAAAATTTAAGGAAAGAAATGAATCACTATCTTTTATATATAAAAAAGAATCGCAGAATGTGTTGGTATGCGTATAACTCAAGAACGCCTGGACCGACTTTGTCAATTCTTTTTTTGTTGTATTTATTATTGACAGGGGAAGGTTCTTATCAAAGAAAATATTAGAAAAGTAGAGGGGAATATTGGGAAAAAGTGACCTATTGTACAAAAGAATGTAGTTAAATAAAACCAAATTTGTATTCAATAAAAATATTTATTTATTTATTTAAAAACTAAAGGTTGTTTTTTCAATGGGTAGATAAAAGTTATCTGGGGAATAATTATGATGCTGTCGCGTCACAATGTTTGTGTAAGACAGTGACAGCAACAATTGTATTCCTCAGATAACATTTATTTGACTATTGAAAACTCAGCCCTAAGAGGAATAATACATTTGCAGGAAAATAATTGTATGCACGGCAGTGCACCGCCAAGTCAATCGATAAAATTAAAATGTAGGTATAAATAAAACTCTTAAAAGAATATCTTAAAAAGTTACGATTCGAAATATTGAAAAAAAAAATGCGACATTAAATTATATAAAAATAAAATTCTATCACTTAAAATTAAGTTTAACTAGTGAGAGTCGACCAGTTTTTTTATAAAAACCCTTTTTTAATACATCATTATAATTAATCTCTTGTTTAAACCAATCGAATTTACAAATCTTTAAAAATATACCTTATATATGTCACTTTTGATGATCACTACACAGTATAAAACAAAGTCGCTTTCTCTGACCCTACATCCCTATATACGCTTGTATCTTTAAAACTACGCAACGGATTTTGATGCGGTTTTTTTATAGATAGAGTGATTGAAGAGGAAGGTTTATATGTATAATAACATCCATTAAATAGTGGAGGATTAGTATCAGCATTGTAGCCATGCGAAGAAGGAGCCGAGGTCGCTAGTAATTTTATAACTCTCAAACAGAATCGCCTAACTAACACAACTGAATGTTTATGTAGTTCGAACTATTTAGTAGATGTTTATGTGGAGTTTGCATAAAATTAGTCGAGTTTATTTTTCAGTTAGAACCTACGTAGCGAAGTATGTACCAGTCACTAGTTATTACATACAAAAATAAATCTCAGAATGTTTTGATAAGCGCACTCAAGAACGCCTGGACCGATTTTGCCAATACGGTAGTTTCCAACTAGTCATGATCAATACTTTTAACCAAATGTCAAAAACGATTCTTTTGTATGAAATTTCTATTCAACTCTTAATTACGACGACATAGTATTTTTGAGTCAAATAGCTTACTTATTTCTTAAAAAATATTGAAATTCTAGTGTATAGCCAGATCGATGAATAAAAGTATAGTTATTTTTCAATATTTTATTGTATTGAAACGTCGAATCAATTTATTTTTGACTTAGGAAACTGACCAATTAATGTTTTGTTGTGATTCTTACCGTCAGGAGATTTTTATGAAAGAAAATTTCTGATTTTTTGTAAAATAGCCACCTCTACCGACAAAAGTACCTAGTTTTCAATAAAGTAAGTATAGGATTTTGTTATTGTATAGTGTTATTTAAAGGTTCTTGAGTCATAGTTTGAAATTAGGGATTTTTGTAAAATAGCCACCGACATATAAGTTGCGAATTTCTCTAGTCTGTCAACTACGCAATTTTATTTTATTTTTATTAGACTTGGGACATTTCTCCACAATCGTTGAATATTCAATTTGACATTTCAAATGACAGTTGCAAAATAAAAGAATTCAAATGCTTCTAGTATGACGCAACCTTGACTTTTTCTATATAACTATATAAAAATCAATGCCACTTTTCATTGTAATGTTATAACTCAACAATAACTTTACCGATTTGGCTCATTTTGAGAAAATTAAAAAAAATAATAATTTAGAAAAACTGTAAAATCGACATCCACGCTGGCGGAGCCGCGGGCAACAGCTAATAATTTCTAATAAAAGTTTGAAATCGCCAATCCGCCTTGAGCTAGCGTGGTGATTAATACTCAAACCTTCTCCGTGTGAGAAGAGGTCTTTGCTCAGCAGTGGGTGCTTATAGGGTGACGATTAATATTACCTACGCATTTATCATCTATTAAGCTTACGTGGACACTTCTGAATAATGTTATGACGATTAAGTAATAAAAAGAACAATTTGAAACGAAACAGTGCATAATTTATGTTATTTTTACGACTTGATATGAACATAAAATGTTAAAACAATCGATTTGTATTTTACGATACCGTTCTTATTTCTTTTATATACATATACAATATAAAAGAAAGTCGTGTTAGTTACTCCAGTTATAACTCAAGAACGACTGAACCGATTTAGCTGAAAATTGGCAGGGGGGTAGTTTAGAGCCAGGAGAAGGACATAGGATAGAGTAGGTAGTCTAGGTTAGGTAGAGTAGGGTAGGCAGTTTAGGGTAGGTAGGGTACGGTAGGGTAGGTAGACTAGGGTAGGTAGAGTAGGGTAGGTAGTGTAGGTTAGGTAAGGTAGGTAGAGTAGGGTAGGTAGAGTAAGGTACGTAATCAAATGACGGGACCGACGCCGAGGGTAAGAGCTAGTTTCTTATATAAGTAAGTAGGTACAAAATTTTGCGCGCGACTGTGTTCGCGTGGAATAGTGTCTTCCTGCAGATTTTTGGTATAAAAACTACCCTATGTCCTTTCTCGAGTTTCAAACTATGTCTGTACTAAATTTCACAGAAATAGGTTCAGTAGTTTAGGCGTGAAGAAAGGACAGACAGAGTTACTTCGCATTTATAATATTAGTTTGGATTTCCATCAATTCTGACTTTTCTTTTTATTACCTACTTACTATAAACTAGTGCTTGACTGCGATCCCACCTGATGGTAAGCAGTGATGCAATCGTTGATGGTAACGCGCACTAGTTTATTAAGAGCCTATTCATGACATTATTTTTGTAATTTATTCTTCCGATTACATTTATATTGAAGTCCTTTTTTAAAACACTAGATACTAGTTGTTCATGCAAACTTCATTCCGCCTAAAATTAACTTAATGTTTTCTGACTTTTTTGACATTGCCTGAATGATTCTCCTGAATATTTCAAAGCGAAATTTAGGCAAATCTGACCAGCCATTCTCGAGATTTAGTGAAACTAACGAATAGCATTTCATTTTTATATATGTACTAGCTTACGACCGCAGTTTCGCACGCGAAGAAAAGTATTAGGGATTTTAAAAACAGCAGCGTTTAAAGCGATAGCTCGAGTAAAATATTCATAATTTATAGCCTATAGTACTCAGGAACATTGTAGCTATCTATCAATGAAAGAATCGTGGAAATCCGACCAGCGGTTCCAAAGATTACCCCCTTCATACAAACTTACAAATTTTACCTCTTTATAATGATAATATTATAGACAAAATTTTGAGTTTTAAAATTGACCGAGTTGGCGATAAGTGACCTTCGAAAGATATATAATAATATAATTAAAAACATAATACCAAATCCATATTTCCTTCCCCAAAAATAATTTAAAACCCAATGATATCCCTAATCTGTTTTAAAATAACGAACAAAAAGACTTAAAAACAAAAAAAAAGTTATAAATAAATACGGTAGTTTCCAACTAGTCAAATTCAATACTTTTATCCAAATGTCAAAAACTATACTTTTCTATGAAATTTGTATGAAACATTGAGTTACGACGTCATAGTATTTTTGCGTCAAATAGCTTACTTATTTCTTAAAAATGAGCTAAAAAATATCTAAAACATAGTGTATCGATCGATCGATGAATAAAAGTATAGTCATTTTTCAATATTTTATAGTATTGAAACGTCGAATTAATTTATTGTTGACCTAGGAAACTACCCAATATAACTTTATTCGTTATTCTTTGAAATCAAAAAAAGAACAAGTCGTATTTTTATAAAAAACCGGTCAAGTGTACAAATTAGAAAAATAAAATACTTAAAGAGATTTTTATGTAGAGATGTGAATTAGGTAATTTTGTTCAATTTCAAGTTCAAGGGCTGATTTTTCAATGGTTAGATAAAAGTTACCCGGGCAAAAATTATGATACTGTCGCGTCACAATGTTTGTATAAGACAGTGACAGCAACAATTTTATTCCTCAGATAACATTTATCTGACTATTGAAAAATCAGCCATTAAAATTAAATTTATAAGAATGACGATACAATATTTAATACAGGATATAAAGTAAAAAAAAAACTTTATACAAAGCAAAATACACCGCCTTAACGTCGGTTTCACATTGACAAAACACGTGACTCAACGTGACACACAAGTATATTTTCTGACAGTAAAAATGTGCAATAAAACCTCTTTTCTGGCACTACACGACACGCCATAATGTAATAATATATATAAGCTTTTACATACACCAATTCTGAAAAAAAAAAGGAAAATTCTAACACCCGGTTTCCGAAAGGCCGATCAATGTTAAAATCAATTTAATCTCTTGTCAAGTCATCTGATTTATTGACTGAATTATCAACAACCAATCGGATGACTTGACAAGAGATTTAACAGGAGATAAGTTGATTTTAGCGTTGACAAGCCTTTCAGAAACCGGGTGTAAGTCTCTCTCTCTCTCTATGAAAGAAGCCAAGAATTTTGCCACACGAAAATACTCCTTATTGCATCACAAACACATCTCTACATTTAATTTAAACTTATATACGAGAGCACCTATATTAAAGTAAATAATATAATTAAAATATGTATAATGTACTGGCTAGAATACAGATGAATATATGCACAAGTGTAACTCACATAAGCATATGAAAATACACCAATTTGTCAAAATTGTTTATTAAATTTTCAACTTTAAAACTTAATACTAAAAGTTTGATGTCAGTTAAATCTAACTGAACTAACATTAGCTAGACCATGCAGGTTATGAAAAAGGAGACTGGTCGCTACCTGAAAAACCATTAGCCTGTCTGTCCCTGAAAATTTGTAGTCTTTATACTTTATTTTTCAGCCACCAGCCGCGCTGCCGTCGATAACTAGTAGTTTTTTTATGGTATAGGTCGGCAAACAAGCTTACCAATTCCCTGGTGGTTATCAATAATTTTTAATTATTCAAATACCTTTGTATCTTGTGAACCAGTAGCTAAGGAGATTAGCGCGTTCAAACAAACACAAAACAAACAGCTCTATAATATTAGTATAGATGACACCTGCCTAATTTGACAGCTGTCAAATGAACGTCAAAATATTTCATTTCGAAGCAGGATATTCTTTTATAAACTCCAAAACAAAACATGTCTGCCATTATAAATTTGCATTTTTTTAATAAGACCTTGATATAATTTTGTGCTTTTACAAGGTTGTGAGTCATCACAGAGTTACTAGGTAGTAAAATATTTGTTTATATCTGTTACCTGTGCATAAACAAAGGAAACCAGATAAAAAACTGTCTAGGATAGAATTCATCATTGACCGCCATCTTGTCGACAGATTTGCTGACAAGAGATTGAGGGAACAGTTTCTTTGCCCACTAGTTGACGTTTATCAAACCAGCCACCGGTTTATCCAATCACCGCAATCCAAAATTTGAATGACCAATCAGGTGATAGTAGCTAATTCGCTATTGGACAAAAAGACTATGATTGACACTGGCGACATCTAGTGTGCAAAAAAAACAGTTAGCTTACATTAAGACACGTCTTAAAATTGTATTTCTTGTAAGCAAATCTATAAGGAGGTTTAAAATGACGATTTGTTAGGATATAAGCTACAAATACCTATATTTGAGATATATTTTTTGTTAAAATACTTATGTTTTTTATTTTTATTATATTAAGGGCTGATTTTTCAATAGTGAGGAATAAAACTGTTGCTGTCACTGTCATATACAAACATTGTGACGCGACAGCATCATAATTATTCCCCAGGTAACTTTTATCTAACTATTGAAAAATCAACCTTAACTACATAATATTGTATGGTTTAAGGTTGAAGTAATTCGTTTGATTATACTATAGGACTCGTTCTTACAATACCCTCTGGAGTCATCATCATCATCAGCCTATAAGTGTCCACTGCTGAGCAAAGGCCTCTTCTCACACGGAGAAGGTTAGAGCATTGATATACACGCTTACTCACCGATGTGACATTTTCCGAATAATATTTACTTTCTAACATTTTTAGACACCACTGACATACGGTGAAGGAAAACATCGTGAGGAAACGTGGATTTATAATTCAAAATCTAAGTTTGAAATCGCCTATCCACTTTGAGCAAGCGTGGTCAATACTGCTCATTCCCTTTTCAGGGACCTTAGCTCAGCAGTGGGCATTTATGGATTGATTATATAGTAATTTGTAATTGATTTCCTGAACCCATCATGTTCGAAAATTAAGAGTAATTAATTACATTTCTTTTTTCATTTTTAAATGACCTTGAAATAAAAGTGATAACCTGTTTTTAAACGAATCATGAGTTTGACAAATCCAATTACTTGAAATTCATTACAATATTAACACTTAATTGTATTCAGTTTACAATATAGATTTCTTTTAAATGTTCATTTAAGGAATATTCTTCTTCTGAGAACCTATTCTTAAAGCCTCTACGGTTTTTAACAAGCATTAGACGTCGCCACCATCAGTTGACTGAATTGACGATGACGAAAGATCACGCAAAATATGTATGACAAATTTTGATGCGGCGTGATATCGGTTAATCTTCTTATATATAAAAATGGATCGCAAAATGTGTTGGTAAGCGCATAACTCAACAACGCCTGGACCAATTTTGCTAATTCTTTTTTATTGTGTTTGTTATTGTCAGGAGAAGGTTCTTATCAAAGAAAATATTAGGAAAGTAGAAGGGAAGATTAGGAAAAAGTGACCCTTTGATAGCGAGATAGTTTTACCTGTGCGAAGCGGGGGTGGGTATGGGGATAATTTTTTATCATCATGGGTGCATCCTAATGGATCTGATCGACCGGAGTGATACCACGGCCTCACAGAAAATCGGCGTAGAACAGCGTTGTGTTTTGCCGTGTAAGTGAGGTTACTGGAAGACCTATCCTTTCCCAATCCCTAATGCCCAAAAAGATCGACAACGCACTCGTAACTGCTCTGTTGTAGCAGATGTCCAAGGGCATGTTGGTAATTTGTCGATCGATAAAAAGAAAATCGGGTACACGCGTGTCGCTAGACAGTAAATCTCGCTGCACGACTAACTGTATCACGTCATCTACATAGCTGATAAGGATACCACAATAAAATCGCTCAATAAACTCCAATAAATCGTCCAATAAGATCCAAATGCATAAAATTGCACGCTTTTACGATCGCACGACGCAATTAAGGTATTGCCATTGAATATTTTTAGTGTCGGAGAGTCATGCTTCGGCACGAATGGGTCGGCTCGACCGGAGTGATACTACCGGCTTTAGAGAAAACCGGCGTAAAAACCACTAGTGTTATGTTTCAACGTGTAAATGAGGTTAATCATCATCATCATCAGCCTATAAGTGCCCACTGCTGAGCGAAGGCTACTTCTCATACGGCGAAGGTTTGGGCAATGCGGGTTGGCGATAGAAATTATAAGTCCAGGTTTCCTCACGATGTTTTCCTTCACCGTATGTCAGTGGTGTCTAAATAATCATAGAAAGTACATATAACTTGGAAAAAAATCACATTGGCACTTGCCAGGTTTTGAACCCTCATGCATGAGAAGCGGGCCTTAACCTCGGGGCCACCACGATCTATGAGTGAGTTCACTGGAGGCTGAGTTCATCCTCTTTACCCACAATCCGCAAAGCCCTAAGCCCTAAATGGCCAGAACGTCAATGGGCGGCGTTGATTGCTTACCAACTATTACTATAACGAGCTAAACACTATATAATGAAAAAATATTTAAACAAATAGGACCTTGGCAAATTAGATCAATTTTTATATGCGATAAAAATAATTGGCTACTACATAATTAGTTGAGATTAATTAGCACTAAAATGTTATATATTATAAATAATAATTTATGAATAACACGCAAGTAAACGCGTGCTTCTGTGAATAAATTTTCAAATAAAGCAAAGACTGACTTGATTTCTCCTGCCCTGGTGAAGTGAGAGAGAGTGTCAGACTCTTACTGACTAAAAACCCCCCGTTCCTTCTCCTTTTTCGAACCGGTTTGCGGTACACTGTTCCTCTTTCACCCTGGGCGATTTGTACGGCGCGTAGCGTTCCGCGCGCGCCTCAAAGAGCCATTAGACCATCACAGGGCTGATGTTCAGCCGGGATTGCGGGGTAAGCGCAATGAGGCACCGCGACCTCGGCACAGAGCAGGAGAAGGAACAGGGGGGTTTTTAGTCAGTAAGAGTCTAACACTCCCTCCTGCTCGGCCCTGGGCGGGAGAAGTCATTCGATGATTTTCCCCTCACAAAAAAAACCCTGGGCGATTTTCATTCCTTGAATGGATAAGGGACCACTGATACACGGTGAAGGAAAACATCGTGAACAAACCTGGACTTTCTTATGGTTGGAATTGGATTTCCAATAAGTTAGTTAGCCAATCAGAGCAAGCGCGGTGATAATGATCATTGCTTTTCCATGTGAAAAGAGACAGTGACCGGTCTTTTCGGAACTAGGGGTTTCTTTTATGGACGGCAAACGAGCATACGGATTACCTGATGGTAAGCAATCAGCGTCGCCAATGGACATATAAGGAGTTACGAGTGGGTAGCCGGCCTTTTAGGGATAAAGGTTTCGGATATTTAAAGATTGGGCCTCCGGTAACCTCACTCACACGGCGGAGCACAACGCTGTGGTTGTTTCACGCCGGTTTTCTGTGAGGCCGTGGTATCACTCCGGTCGAGCCGACCCATTCGTGCCGAAGCTTGGCTCTCCTAAACTTGGTGGCAGATATTTAGGGACTGGGGAAGGGAAAATAGGATTGGGCCTCTTAGTTACCGAAGTAAAGCCACACAGAACCAATGCTTGCATGACTGATAAAACTGAAATGAGGTCATACATTCTCTATGATCATTGACTCGAAAAATAACAATAGAGTCTTGTGTACAAAACAATTGGATCATCACTTCGTTAAGACTTATTAAAAGAACAATACATAGGATATACTGTAGTTCCTACCAACCATTTTAAAACCAAAACAAAAACATAACCTCAAAATCTTTAATTTTAATAAATAAAGTTCTTTGATCTGATATCTCGGCAAACGAGCAGACGGATTACCTGATGGTAAGCAATCAGCGCCGCCCATGGACACTTGTAATACCAAAGGAGTAACTACAAGTGCGTTCCCGACCTCTTGTGGGTTGTTAGAGATTTACGGATAGGAGATTTAAGAGGTTTAAAGATGGGGGTAAAGGATTGGTCAGAACCTCGCTCTCACGGCGAAATATAACGTAAGTGTTCCTTCACGCCGGTCTTCTGTGAGGCCGTGGTATGACTCCGGTCGAGCCGGCCCATTCGTGCCGAAGCATGGCTCTTCGAAACAATGTTTTATGAAGACAATAAATAGGCAAATGTGTACATTATGTAACCAGTATTTGCCAGTTAATAAATATTACCTACGCAATTGTAAATTATCAATCTATTAAGCTCAATACCGCAGTACTTTAAATGAACAAAAACTGAATAGATCCAGAAAATTGCACACGCCGAAAAAAAGTGTCCGTTTTTCCATCTTAAGAAAAAATTGCCAATCACTAGCGTTTTTTTCTGTGACGCAGGTCCGTTTACAAACATACAATATCACAAACACATCACACCCAGACTCACGGAACAACAATTTGAAGATCACACAAAGAGTTGTTCCGTGCGGGTTTTAAAACCGCGAAATTGAGCGATAGCTTAGCCCAGGTACATAACCTTAAACTAACCAAAAATTTCTTGAAAAATGTTCCTTAAATAAACAGGAATAATGTTAGGACGAGTATCCCGTGCGATACGAAACACCATTCGCTTTAGAAACTAAAGTCCAGAAACGAATTTGAGGGATTCAAATTCGTTTTGGATTGAAAAGGGATTGAAGGGATTTTGGGCTTGAAAAGAGACTGACCTCTGAAGTTGTTTCGGCATTTCTTCTCAGAGTAGTCAGATACGAAATGCCGGCTTCATCTAATTTTTCACATATAAATTGAAGTGTAAAAGTGCCGTTTTATGGCCTATTTGTAAAAATTAAATTCATTGTTTCATTATTGTCGATGACCCTTATCAAAAACAGGGGCGGTCCAAACTAATTTGTAGTACACGAAAAATGCGAACAAAATTAAGCATAGATCGCAAAGATTATCCTCATTACGATAATACAAAAATAAATTATTTAACTTATTGATTATAAATTCCTTAGCACTCCATCTTGGTTGCGCTCGATCGCGCACCTGATTCCTCTCCAACTCCGTATCTGAAAAATAAAGAAAAAATATATTTAGTAAAGGCATACGGTGAAGGAAAACATCGTGAGGAAACCTGGACTTATAAAATCTAATTGTTAGTTTGAAATCACCAATCCGCTCGAAGGATGGACAGCTATTCCGAACTATCCAAACGAATATTATAAATGCGAAAGTAACTCTGTCTGTCTGTCTTTTCTTCACGCCTAAACTACTGTACCGATTTGTGAGAAATTTGGTACAGACATGGTTTGGAGCTTGAGAAAGGACATAGGACAGTTTTTAGCGTGGGAGCGGGAACTTCTCAAAAATCTCGCGAGATCGGGAAGTATGAGAGTAAAACCAAAAATCCTGAGGCAGTCACTATTCCAAGCGAACGAAGTCGCGGGCAAAAGCTAGTTTCTTATACATTTTTATATAATATTGGGTTTGGTAGAGATTGCAAGTACAATATTAATCACTACATAGTATAAAACAAAGTCAGTTTCTCTGTCCCTATATCCCTATGTACGCTTAAATCTTTAAAACTACGCAACGGATTTTGATGCGGTTTTTTCAATAGATAGAATGATTGAAGTAGAGGGTTTATGTCTATACTATAATATTTTAAAGCTGAAGAGTTTGTTTTTTAAGAAGAGAAAAAATATTTTTCTGTTTAATATACCATTTACTGAGGAAGGCTACAAAACATCACGCCACAATCTGTAAGGGCCGAGCAGCGACTGAAACCGCGCGTGATTAGCTAGTCTATACTAATATTATAAAGAGGTAAAATTTGTAAGTTTGTATGTAGGAGGTAATGTTTGGAACCGCTGGTCGGATTGCCAAAATTCTTTCACTGATAGATAGCTACAATGTTTCCGAGTGCTATAGACTATAAAACATCACGCTACGATCTGTAGGAGCCGAGCAGCGGGTGAAACCGCGCGTGATTGGCTAGTGTTTAATAACATTATTTAAAAAGTGGAAAATTTAGTTTCAGCAGAATTGAGATTAAGTGTGAGAGAGCCATTCTTCGGCACGAATGGGTCGGCTCGACCGGAGTGATACCACGGCCTCACAGAAAACCGGCGTGAAACAACTACAGTGTTGTGTTTCACCGTGTGAGTGAGGTTACCGGAGGCCCAATTCTTCCCCTCCCCCAATCCCTCCTCAATCCCTAAATCTCCAAATTCCTAATCCCTAAACGGTGGGCAACGCACTCGTAACTCCTACGTTGCGGGTGTTCATGGGCGGCGCTGATTGCTTACCATCAGGTAATCCGTCTGCTCGTTTGCCGACCAATACCATAAAAAAACAGCATTGTAGCCGTGCGAAGTTGTGGCGGGTCGCTAGTATAATAATATTATGTTATCAAACAAGCAGGAAATTGTACAACGTACATAAAGTATATTACGCACTAAAAACTATGATAAAACATTTAAAAACTAAACAATATGAAACATAGCTCTGCTACCTACAACTACCAATGTGACTTTTATGTCGACAAACGAGCAGACGGATTACCTGATGGTAAGCAATCAGCGCCGCCCATGGACACCCGCAACACCAGAGGAAGTATGAGTGCGTTTTGGGGTTTAAAGTTTCGGAGTTTTAGAGATTAAGGAGGGATAGGGTAACACAGCACTGTCTTTGTTTCACACCGGTTTTTGTGAGGCCGTGGTATCACTTCAGTCGAGCCGACCCATTCGTGCCGAAGCTTGGCTCTCCCACAATTTTGCCGAGTATACATACTTTCAAAGTTTCAAAACATCGTGAGGAAACCTGGACTTGTAATTTCTAATATAAAATCGATAGTTCCAATCCGGCCTGAGCGAGCGCGAGCGGTTTTAAAGATTACCCCCTACATACAAACTTACAAATACCTGTTAATAATATTAGTAAAGAAGATATGTTCCCCTTAGGGCTGAGTTTTAAATAGTCAGATAAACGTTATCTGAGGAATAAAGCTGTCGCTGTCACTGTCTTATACAAACATTTTGACGCGACAGCATCATAATTATTCCCCAGGTAACTTTTATCTTACCATTGAAAAAACAGCCATAAGCCAGGTATACAATTCCACAGGGAAGTGATCGGCGGCGGAAAACTCCCGCGCCCGGCCTTAGTCGAGGCCATGGTGCGGAGCGAGAGGAACTGGGACGCCGTCTCCTCCTTCTGTGTCTGTGTATCCTCCTCCTCACGACCCGGCCGCCGCAACAGGCGACACTACGGGCGTTGGGGATCAAGGGACGATCTCCGGCCACCGTAAGCACGGGTCTGCGGTCGGCGAGTACGCTCGACCAGAACCAGGCCCGAGCGTACGGCGCGTAGCGTTCCGCGCGCGCCTCAAAGAGCCAATAGACCACCACAGACGGGGCCCTATAACGCTGATGTTCAGTCGGGGTTGCGGGGTAAGCGCAATGAGGCACCGCGACCTCGGCCCAGAGCAGGAGTAGGAACAGGGGAGTTTTTACTCAGTAAGAGTCTGACACTCCCAGAAGTCATTTGATGATTTTTCCCTCACTAAAAAAGCCAGGTATACAATACCCACTTATAAGAATAGCGTCACAACCACTGTATCCTCCACAACACATCATACTATAAAAGACAAAAAAAGGCGGTCTTAACCTTAAAACAACTATGAACACCAAACATACAAACATCCTTGACACAGATCATATATTTGTCTACTAATAAAATTATACACACGTCTGTTCATATATGTGCAGGGAAAAATAATTGATTAATTAGAATTTAATTGATCAATCACGACTGACCTTGAGACCTTGGCAGACGACCTTTATCGAAATTGGCACTACCGGCAGTGTATTCTATGTCATCATCATCATCAGCCTATAAGTGGCCACTGCTGAGCAAAGGCCTCTTCTCACACGGAGAAGGTTTGAGCATTAACCACTACGCCCGCTCAAGGCGGATTGACGATTTCAAACTTATAATCAGAAATTATAAGTTCAGGTTTCCTCACGATGTTTACCTTCACCGTATGTCAGTGGTGTCTAAATAATCATAGAAAGTACATATAACTGGGAAAAAGTCACATTGGAATTTGCTTACGGACTCGTATCCTAATGAGAAGTGGGGTTTTACTTATAAAAAAACGAAACTAAACTAGGATTTTCTCCTGTGTCGTGGGTGCGTTTACAAACATACAATGTCACATACACATCACACCCAGACCCGGAACAACATTTTGTGGATCACACAAAGAGTTGTTCCGTGAGGGAATCGAAACCGCGACATATTGCGTGGCAGCCAGTTGTCCAGCCACCGCGCCAACCGTGCACTCAAATTCCATTTCTATTCGATTCCTATGTGTGTGATCCAGAAATTATTTGACAAATCTTGACTACGGTAACCAATATTGTTTTTAGGATACTTTTTCTTTTTTTTATATTATGATAGGTCGGCAAACGAGTCAACAAAGTTACCTGATGGTAAGCAATCAGCGTCGCCCATGGACACCCGCAACGACGGAGGAGTTACGAGTGCGTTGTCGATTTGGAGATTTTGGGAAAGGGAACGGATTGGGGTAGGGGAAGGATTGGGCCTCCGGTAACCTCACTCAAACGGCGAAACACAACACTTTGGTTATTTCACGCCGGTTTTCTGTGAGGCCGTGGTGTTACTCCGGTCGAGCCGACCCATTCGTGCCGAAGCTTGGCTCTCCCACACTTAAATGGCACTCCCATACTGTTACCGTAGTAGAAAAGAACTGCATGTTTGGTGGAGTATAATGTGACGCAGCATGTGTCCACGGAATGGAATTCTTTGCCGGAGTCTGTGTTCCTTGAAGGGTATAGTCTGAGTGTCTTCAAGGCCCGAGTGAATAGGTTGCTTATGGGTAGGCGTGCTCCATCGTAGGTCGCATCATCGTTTACCACCATGCGAGATAGCGGCCAATGTCTGTCCAAAAATGTATCCCCGTTCCGGCTTGAAGTAGGAGAGGAAACGTGGTGATTTTTAGTCAGTAAGAGTCTGACACTCCCTCTCCGACGGGCGAAGCAGTTTCATGATATTCTTCCTTTAAAAAATGGAGGGTAATACCGCATGTTGACGCATCATTGATTCTTACACGGAACAACTATCTGATTCACAAATTATTGTTCCATGAGTCTGGGTGTGTTGTGTATGTGAAATTGTATGTTTGTAAACGCATCTAGAAAAAAAATAAAAACAGGATTCGTACTACTAAGAATTGGCTGTCTGTCTGTCTATCAACAGGCTGTATATCTTATCAACCGTGATAACTACACAGTTAAAATTTGGGCCGATGATAAATAAAAACTAAACAAAATACAGTTAAATCAAAAATCAATGTCTGTAAAAGAAAGTCGTGTTGGTTACACTTACATATCTCAAAAACGGCTGAACCGATTTCGTTGAGGATTGGTGGGGTGTTTTTTTACGGAATAGATCGGCAAACGAGTAGACGGATTATCTGATGTTAAGCAATCAGCGCTGCCCATGGACACCCGAAACACCAATGGAGTTACGAGTTTTATGGAGTTGAGGGTTTTAGATATTTAAGCATTGAGAAGGGATAGGAGTAGCGGGTGGATTGGGCCTCCGGTAACCTCAATTACACGGCAAAACACAACGCTGTGGTTGTTTCATTCCAGTATTCTGTGAGGCCATGGTATCACTCCGGTCGAGCCGACCCATTCGTGCCGAAGCATGGCTCTGCCACACTTAAAACTGTAGTTTAGAATCAGAAGAAGAAAATAGGGAACCGCGGTACCTCTTTGATTGAAGCGAGAAATTGGCACGCCAAAGCTTAAAAACCAACTAAATAAAGTCCCATCGACCCAAATGGCAACAAAAAATCTAACCCGTAGAGACACGGAACAAAAAATCTACCAGAAAAAAATGATAGTTAATGAATTCTTTACCAAAGTATTCGCTAACAAATTTAATATTTGCAAGTGGATCAAGTGTAGCAAAAAAGGTCGTCTGACTCACAAGTAGGTTTCTATGTTAAAAAAAGCCAAAAAAAAAAGTATTATAAAAG